TGGGATTCAATGTCTTTTACATTTTCTTGTTTTTAATTTTGGAATTTGCCATTTGGGCTGTGCCGTATTCTTATTGTCTCCCACAACATCCTTGCCATATTTTCTACAAGTGATGAAGGCCAGCACATGTCACTGATGAACTCTGAAATTTTTCTGATTTATTTGATACTTGCTTTGGACACTGCTTTAAATTAGATTCAATATAACTTAATGGTTTCCACATGCATATCGTGTTTTCTTGGCCATAGAATTGTCAACTACGCTCTAAGAAAGTGAACTGAGGGTTATAAATTTTGGTTTAACTTGCAACTGAGTTTCACACCTAAATTTTCTAGGTAAAGGACAAGCTATTTAATTATGACATTTTCGACATGTGTATTTACGTGCAAGGGCTGCAGTCTGATGGTAAAACTAGGCTCAAAATTCAGTAGGATGTGCTCAGGTTAAAGTAAAACTAAGTATGGTGATGCCACGAAGAAATCTTTTGAAATTGGCATAAGCCTACCAAAAGAGTTTTGTATTATTTACAATTAGATGCACCTCGAACATAACTGATACGGAGACTAAGTCAATGGGTGTGGAGAACAAGATAGAAAAATTGAAGTGGGTTGACTAGAAGAGAACGATAAGGCGTGAGACCATGCCTGTTCTAGAATGGCATTCAGGTTCTCTAATCCTCCATTGGGTGAATGTCTCCCAACTAGTATTTAAAAAGGATCTCGTTTTTTTTTTCTCTAACTCTAGAAATGAAAGGTTTAGTTTAGTCAAATGCCATCCCCATCCTAACTTATATTTGCTAGAAAAAAAGCATGATCTGTGTTTTATTGCTCCCTTCACTGATAGGATTATCATTTAGAACCCCTTCTTAAACATAATTATCACTGTAACAGAGATTATATTGGCAAAAATTTTGTTGCAGGGACAACATTTGCTGTGTTACAATGCTTCTGTTTTTTTCTCATTGCATATTTTTCTATCTAAAGTAGCTGTGGGCATTTAGTAAATTGTGGCTTTCTGCAGAATTATGAAGACAAAAAGCCTATCAGAATACTGAGCATGCATGCTTCTGCAATTAATTGGTTGTAATTCAGGATTCAAAGAAAAATATAAGGTTCATAAAGTCAGACTCATGAAAGAAAACTTGCAGAACTGCTTCAGAAACTGGCAAGAATGATGGGATAGTTGTGTTCAAAGAGATGAGAAATATTTTAAGGATGATTTATGGCAATGTGTCTTTTAATGTAATATTTAAAAAAAGATTTAAGCATTCACTGCATTTTTTTTTATCATGCCTCTAATTTTACATTTCTTCCCATTTGGTGGTCATATTAAGACAGAAATTGCTGAAGGCTTCTAGAATACTACTTGTTTTTTAATGCTCTGTACTGAACATCACGATTCCATTCCCTAGAATGCATCTTATTTTCCTCAATATCTGCATTAAGTCCAACTGCTGAGCATATATCTTGAATCTTGGTAGCTGTAGGATTTTCAACAGCCTCACTAATTGGGATCCACCTTCCCTCTAAATAAGATGGTTTTCTTATTTAAATAAGTGAGGTAGATACAAGTAAACCTGTCTTGGTTGGCTGAGGAGTGGGGAGCGAGTGGCGGTACAAGCCATATCCACACTATTCTGGGCATTAAATTTAAAAGAGCTTCTTTATATACTTTCAGTCATTTGTATCCTGATTTTCAGTTCTTCATATGTACATGAGACATAAAGTCTTTCTAATTTTGTGAAGTAGAGGAATGCTGTTTAAGCTGCTAGGTGTATAATAGCAGTCTAAATTTTTTTTAGGCAGCCCAGAATAGGGAAAGTTGTCTATGGATAAAAGTTGTTCTTATACCACATACCAAAATTACTAACGTGCCTAGCAACTGTTTCCACCTTCTTAGTGTACAGTACTCCTTCAGGGTATTTGTTGCACATGATAACCACCCAAATAAGCATTATGGAAAGAAAATGTGTTAAGTACCATTAAAGTACAAAGCATATCGGACTATATCTGGAGTGAGTAGATACAGCTGACTGGAAGCAAAGAGAAAGGACAGGAAGACGTGCTGACTCAACCTCAGGAAGAAAATAGTGCAATTCAGCAGATATTTACCCCGTGACTACTTTGTTGCCTCAAGATGCTGGAACCAAAGACTTAAGAGACTCAACAAGGCATAATTCCTGCCATCAAAGAGCTTATACAATAATAGGAAAATTTAGACATGCATTATTTTCAGGAGTATTTGATGGTGGAGATTGAATAGTAGAAAGATTATTTACTTGAATGAAAGTAATGAAGTCCTTAAGGAGTTAAACAAGGGGAAGATTTAGAGAACTGGGAGGAGTCTCAGCTTAAAGGGAGCAATTATGGAGCAGGAACCAGAGCAGGCGGAAAGGTAGAAGATCATTTGATCCAACCCAGTACTTAATAAAAGACTGAAAGTAGGAAAGCAGTTCACTTCAGAGGAGTCAGCATAGTGGAAGGAGGAGCAGAAAGGAGGCTCTATATGTAATACAAGTAATGGCAACAAGAAGTCATAAAAGTAAAGAGAAAGGGAAAGGACAGATTAATGATGGAAATAGAATGAATAAGGTTTTACTTCTGAGCCAAAGAAGTTTTGAATCTAAATATGTAGGTAGATGGTACCACTAACAAAAATTGGGAAGACATGATTTTTTTTCTTTCTGTATTTAGGACAGGGTTTCTGTATTTAGGACAGGATTTTCAGGATCTACAGGGTCTCACTACGTAGATCGGACGCAGTGATTTTCCTGTTTTCAGCCTCCCAAGTGCTGGGATTATAGGTGCACGCCACTACGCCCAGTCTCAATTGCTGTCTGGGTGTTGAGTGCTGCCTAAATAGGTGCTTTAGTCCACTGAACTATTAGGCTGGCCAATTTTTTGTTTTTTGGTATGTATTTCAGATTAACCTTGAACTCACTATGTTGACCAAGCTGGCTTCAAACTCCTGGGGATCCTCCTGCGCCAGCTTCTCATGTACTAGGATCATAGGACTGCACCACTGTAGCTGGCAGGGAAGATGTGACTGACAAAAAAAAATCATTAAAAATTCTGCTGTAATTCACTTAATTGGAGAGACTTATAGAACATCTAGGAGTAGATTCTATTAAGAAATGAAAAATGCAGAGTCGGAACTTGAGAGAAAAGTCTGAAGGTATACATGTCCAAAATTTTGAGAGGAATGTTACCTGTTCAACTAAATGCTTTGTAAATGCATATAACTAATGGCAGGCAAGAAATAACTTAGGCAGAAATAGGAAGGACTTATAACTCAGCAAAAGCTCTGGGACTCTGGGACTTACCTCTTTTTTTAAAGTAAGGATCAGGTTACTATATATAGTTTTCATACCCATACTATTAAGAAAATGTCATCATGTTTAATGAGTTTCTCTTAGTTTTAGGGCTATTTGTAACTTTTGATGCTTCCTTCCAACATATTTAACAATGCAGTATTTAAAGGCTGTAGGTGTTGGTTGGGATCCAAGGCAAGTAACAATTCTCTGGTTCATCCACACCGCAGTGCAGATACTTCTAATATGTGGTTCTTAGGACCCTGATTAGTTTTCTGCTGCTCAGGGTATCTGTACAGGACTCTGAGACCATTTGGAGCCTGAGGCAAAACAAAATAAGAAAATCAAATCAGATCTCTAGAGTTTAATAAGGTTTATGAGAGCTTTTACTTGTTACAAGTTTCTGGTGAACACTTATATCACAAAGCTCCCATGGTCCCAATCTGCTGTACTTTTTGTTCACTTATTCTTCATTGTGAGCTTTGTAAAGATAAAGTACTTTAGCTTATTTATTATTTTGTGCTCAATAGCAGAGTAGTAGGGGTGTTTAGTATTTATTAATTGCTCAAATCATGTTGATTAAATCCATTTTATTGATCCTATGTTATTGACATCTGTGCAAAGGAAATTATAGCAAAGGAGAATTTGAAAGAGCATTATTATTCAACAGTCAAGAAAGAAATTGTTTTAATTGTCGGAAATAAACAGGATAGAGTATCATGTAATCATTAAGAACATTGATGACATGGAATCACAAAAATATTAGTTTAAGTAAAAATATAGTGTGTGAAACTGTAGATACAGTATGCTCACAATTTCATATACCAATCCACATAATTAGGAGGAAGTAAATGTAGGGCAAGAATTTCTTTTAGGGTAGTGACTGCTTTTGTTGATGAAAACATGTTGAGCTTATCGAAATAGAGCAGAATTTAAAGGTTAGGAAAAAAATGAAGCTGACTAGGAGTGAAAATAATGACACGAGAAGTGTATTTTTATAAAGTGCTCATACAAAGCTTACCTAATAAGCAACAGTTGAGCTGAAACTCAAAGGAACAGGAGAAATATGCCAGTCTGCATACTTACTGGTGAGAACAACCCAGCAAAGAATGTGATAGAGTAGCAAGAAGGGATAACCATAGCCACTGTGTGTTTCAGTAGTTCAGGGTAGATGCCTTAGCAATCAGTGTGAGTAACTCCTTCACCATTAGGTAGACATGGGGGCGCCATTGTAGGGAAATGAATAGGTCTCAAGGCAGGAGCTTATGAACTTTTTCTTGTATTCCTTGTTTTCTCAATCAATGCAATAAAAAGCAAGGTCATGTAATAAGATAGGGGTATATGGGATTATCAGGGAAGGTAATGGGCAAGTGCATATGCATTTAATTAAAAACTATAGTATTTTTTATTATTTTGCATATTTTGGACGAGTTTATAATTTGTCTACAAGTATAGGTTTTCCAGTTCAATATCATCTGATATCATTCCCAACCCTCCTAGCCCAAATAAGTGATCCAGTGACAAACAGACAGGAAATACAAGTGTGGAGAACTTGCTTGGTTTTTAAACTCCTAAGGCAACTTGTTAAAACTTCTATGTTTGCTCTCTCTCTCTCTCTCTCTCTCTCTCTCTCTCTCTCTCTCTCTCTTTTCTCTGATGAAATAATTGCCCTTTGGTTTCTGCTTCACAGGGTGGTGGTGATTGTCCAGAAATGAGTATTGGAGCTATAAAGATTGCCTTGGAAATTTCTCTTCCTGGTTCTTTCATCTATGTTTTCACTGATGCCCGGTCCAAGGACTACCGACTCGCCCATGAAGTGCTGCAGCTTATCCAGCAGAAGCAGTCTCAAGTGAGTGGGAACGAATCAGCCCTGAAGCCTCTGCCTGGATACTGCCTGTGAGAGGTTGTCTGTCCATGGTGACTACTCCCTGTGTGCCGAATGCAGTCTTTAGATCTGTCCATCCACATGTGTATGCCAATACATGTGTCATTTAATGTAAACAAATGTGTATATTTATAAAGCATGTGAAGGTTTAAGAACTGAATAAGAGTTAACTAAAGGCTTGCGGCCATCTTTTCCTTATAACAGAAGCATAGGCTTACAGAGACAGACACCTATTTCAGTGTCCGTTCTCCAGGGGAGTCTTGCCCAAGTCAGTGATTCATATGGTCAGTTAGCTATTTCTGCCTAACAAACTTTTCCAGCACTTAGTGCTTTAAAACAACAAGCTTTATTATATTTAATGTGTTAGCAGAGTTCAGTTAATGTAGGCTGGCCTTGCTCACTTGGGCATCTGGTGGTCTTTCATTTTGTTTTTCCTAAACTGGTCTCTGGAGGATGTTGGCTTTCTTCATAGGTTTCTTACTCTTGTTCTGACCCAAGTCTAGTTATGTCTTTCTTGTAGACATAGCAGAAACTACAGATTGGATGGAAATGCACAAGGCCTTTTCAGTTGGAATGTGGAATTCATAGAAGGTTTGGTCTCATTCTTTTGACCAGTAGAAGTCATGTTGTCAAGCTTAGGTTTAAAGATAATAAGATAAACTCTACCTATTATTGAGAGGAAATTCAAAATCCTCTGGACAAGTAATGGATAAAGAGAGGTGAAGAACTGAGGCCACTGTGTAGTCAATCTATCACAGTCTCACTTTTTCACTTCTGTAGTTTTCAGCCCACATTTCTGAAATATGAATAACCATGGCCATGTATGGGTTCATGACTAAACAGCATACAGAGTTAAAAATTATTATATATGAAGTGCGATGGGAAGATACTGTGTGTTTAAATGAAAAGGTTTCATACTAAAAGACATACTGCCATTTACTGCCTCAAAAAATCCTTTGCTTTGAACATACTGGCCACTTTCTGAAGAAATTCCAGAAAACCTCTTTTATATCTTTAATGTGCTTTTGTGTCTATGTTGATGTGCTGAATTGATTCAAAACCTTCATCCTTCATGGTCATTTTGACTTTAGGGAAGAAGTTGTACACACTGTCAGATTTAAGGAACAAAGTGGAAAATTCACACTAATTTTTTTGTGAATCTGCTTTTCCATTGGATGGATTTGGTAGCACCATTCATTATATTTTTTAATCATGCCTTATAACGATGCTTACAAAAGAGGACTTCCATAATATATATTCCACTTGTCTAATAACATATTAACACATAATAGGTGCTCAATAAATATACGTTGATTTCTAGAAACCAATGAAACTATCCTTTCATTTAAAAAATTTTCAGGTGGTATTTGTGCTCACTGGAGACTGTGATGACAGGAACCACATTGGATATAAAGTCTATGAAGAAATTGCCTCCACAAGTTCTGGCCAAGTGTTCCATCTGGACAAGAAACAAGTTAACGAGGTCAGTTCAGTAAAGCGGGTCTACTTTTTAACTAGCTCCTTTACCGAGATCTGTGAGGCTGCCTAATGTGACAGGTGTGCTTTTTGGTTTTATTTATTTTTTTACTTACTTTTATGACACTGGGGATGAACCCAGTGTTCCTAAACTTAGCTACATCCTCAGATGTTTTTGATGTTTCATTTTGTGACAAGGTCTCCCCCGGGCTGGGTGTCCACTCTCTAGTCTCCAGCCTCAGTCTTTCAGCGTGTTAGAATTACAGGTATGCACCACTGGGCCTGGCTAGTTCTTGTTTAGTGAGGTCAATTGGTTTTTATATGAATAACTTTAGTATACCAGATAAAATGAGGATTGACTGGTTATTAAAGTAGAATGTGAGAGGTAATTATTCACTTCTAAAATTAACTGTCAAAAAATTGTCACTGAATAACTATATAGTTGTCAAACATTTGATAATACATTGTATATCTTATAAGAAAATCTTGATATTTTCTTGAAAAGTCTTTGAGACAGGTCTAAGTGTTGCAATGACTTCTTTTTTCTTGTTATTATTTTCCCTTGGCTCATTCATTATAAGAACACTTTACTTACCCATTCATTTACTTTTCCTACTCAAGTTTCTGGGAAAATAACAGAACAGAGGTAAGGTTTTCAATGGACATACTTCACCCTTAATTGCTGTAGTCCCTGTATGTGTGCAAGGCCTATTGATTTCAGAGTGGACTCCTCTGTGTCTTGAATGAAATGACTCAACAGTTTTTCTTGCTCAGAAGTTCTTATTACATGGATCTAATAGAACGTTGAACATTTCTACAACAAACAATGGAACAAAAATGTTCTCAATCAACATACGTATCGGGGGCAGTGCAGATAGCTCAGTAGAATAAGCGCTTGCCTGGCAAGCGCAGGGTCCCGAGTCCAATCCCTGGTACCGCAAAAATCAATAAATAAATAAACATAAGTATCGAGATAAATAAACCTGAAAATTTACTTTCACATAAGAGAAGTTTCCTTGGGAGAAACAGGTTTGGACAGGTTTATAGCTTAGTCTTCATTGTGTCCACTTTAGTTACTCAGAATTCCCTGGGCAGGATCTAAGGATTATGAGGGAATTTCTTAGCAGTTAATTTGCATGAATGTTTGAAGGAGAAGTTGGAAACCTGGCAAGGGATTGGGGAAGAATGCAGGACTCTGGGGAACAGGGTGTCTTGTCTCATCTACATACTGTGCTTGAATTTAATGTTGGCCAAGTTCCTGGTAGAGGTTGTTTTTATACTAGAGTTCTATAAGACCCTGAATTATATTACAAAGTAGGACCTAAATGAGGAATGGCATCATTTTCTCTTGCACAACGAGTGCATCACCAGGGAGAGTTTGATGGTGCTCAGGATGGAAGTGGAAGTGGTGCTTACTGGAAACAGACGGGGTATTGAAACGCTGTGGATGTGAGGCAAGTGGGCATGGTGCCTTACTGCAGGACGTGTTAGAGAAGAGATGAGAAGACTCATGTGCAAACCTAGTGCTTTTGAAAGTTGCTTAGACCTATTTGTAAGCAGACAACACAAACCTTCTGTATACAAGTTGTATGGCATTCTGAGACTCATAGGACTTTATTAGTAGTTGTTCCCCAGAGAAAAGCATATATACTGTGTGACTGAGACTCCAAGTGTACATAAACATACAGGGAATACTGTGTTATAAAAAAGCTGTGCATGTTGTTGTTTTAAACAGAGAAAGTAAGCCTTAAGGATAAAAATTTACATGCTTTATTAGATATCTGATGTTTATAATCATAATATATTCTCTCAGTTCTGAAAATTGCCAGATAATTTTTAAGAGTAATAAAATATGACTTTTTTCTACACATGAAACCTACATATGTGGGTAACCCACTGGTTTGTTAAGTGTTTCTCTCCCATATTATCAGCACATCTGTTCTGTAAATTTATCTTGGAAGGAATAGTACTAGAGAAAATGATTGCTAAAATGGTCCATTTTTATAAAATGAAATTTGATATTACAAGGATGAACTGTGATTTATCTGTCACTCATGACAATTCCAAACCCCTCACCAATTAACTCAGGAAAAATGTATCTTACATTTGTCAGTGAGACCGAGGTCAAATTAGATAGTAGTGCCTTGGAAGAATTATTTTTCTAGACATTGTCCTGGTATAAATCCCTAATTAGATGCTGTCATCTTTATACAAGTTTGATAATAAAATAAATAGAAGGGAGAATGAAGAGCTAAGAAAACATAGTCTGGATAAAATCAACTCTCAAACTTACCACAATACTAAGCCTGTAGAGTTTCAGCAAGAGATGGCTTTCACTTAGCCAATAAAAATTGAATATTCAGTTACCTAAAGAAAAATAAACTCTAAATGTTAAAAAGTCCTATATTGCTGTGACATGGGCTTTGTGAGCTCCATTTTCTTGTTCATAAAATGGAGATAATAGAATTTCCATTTAAGTAGGTGACTGTAACTTTAAATGAGATAAGCAATGTCTGGTCCAGGGTAAGTATTCAATATGTATTAAAGAGTATTATTATAACCTTGGTAGCACTGCTACTTTGATCTTAAACTGGGGGATTTGTGACACTATGCTTGTTAGAAATCAGTTGTCTAGGGGCTGGGGAGATGGCTCAGTAGACTAAGTGCTTCCCTGGCAAGCGCAAAGGCCAGAGTTCAATCCCCCATTCCGCAAAAAAAAAAAAAAAAAAAGTCAGTTGGCTAGATGCTGCTGGGAAATAAGTCTGAGTAGGAGAATTCTGGAGGAATAGGGTAGTTCTCTTTTCCCTGTCCATGAGAAAAGATCTTGCAGAAGCTTACTAGAATTGTAAAAGTCAATATGTTCCTTAAAGAAAGCCACCATTGTGGAAGATTTTGCTAATAGGAAGCATTGTAAAGCATTGTGACCATGTTAAAAATAAAGCTGAAAAATCTTTGGCATATAATTTACTTTTTTTCTCTCATTACTCTAAATCCTTTTATTAAATAAACTAAAAATTCTAAGGGAAATAGATGTTCCACTGAGAGCCACACATTTAATAGACCCAAGAACTACTGTATTTTGTTTTACCTGCTTAACCTAGTTCATCAATTTCCTAACCTACTATGGTATATTTTGTAGCAACTATCATAGATACTTTGAAGGATTTTTGTTAATTCTTTTAAACAAGGATTGAATAGAAGATGTAGGTGTCTTTCATCTTTCTTTAACATAAAAGGAAAAATCAAAGTGAAGAAATTATTTGGCTGAACATCAGTGGACCTTAAATCATTCTGTGGCACTGGATTTTGGAAATGCAAGTTAAAACACATCTCAAGGATGTATTTAAAACATCTTTGAAGACAGAATAAGAACTAAACTACTACTCCACTTATTTGTAAGCTGGATGACTACCAGTTGATCTTATTAATGCTTCCTTTGGTATAAAAAGAGAAAGACTAAATTGGAAATCTCAAAATTAGTTGAACAATATATCGTTGTGTTAGTGAAGCCAACACAAAAGATCCATATTTATTAGGCAGTTCACTTGTCATGAGTTCTCCCACCCTCAGCTCTCTCCCAACTGATGTCCTCTTAATATTTTTAACTCCCTGCAAAATTTCTACCTGGACATCCTAGCCTGATGGCATCCTCTCATTTCAATAAATGTTAATGTTTAGTAGATGTCATTTATTACAGAGATAGGTAGGTATCAGTCATCATCCCAGCAGAAAAGAAACAGCTGTATTTGGGGCAAAAGATCTTTTAATGATTGACAATTTACCCAAGGTTAAGAGCAGCTGACAAGAGATGGTGAAACAGCCTGAATCCATCACCAGCAGCTATATATATATATTTAGGACAGGGTCTCACAGGTCTCATGGATCTCACTATGTAGGTTGGACTTGTAGTGATTCTCCTGGTTTCAGCCTCTCAAACATGCTCCACCAAGCCCAGTCTCAATCGCCTTCTTGGCGCATCCTGGGGGCGGGGCAAGGCCTGTACAGCACACTGGGGATTGAACCCCAGCCATCACACTCTGCCTGAGCAGGCGCTTTAGTCTACAGAGCTATCTGGCTGGCCCTATCATCACCAGCAGACTTGTATTTCCCCTCAGTCTGAAAGGTAAGAGAGAACTTGTGCTGTCCACACATGGTGCGACCCAGGCTGAGGGCTCGTCAAAGACAGTGGCCTTGGACAGACAGAATGAAACCCTGCAGAAATGGAGTCAGAGAAACAATGACCCAGCACCTTCTCATCCCTGGCCTTCCATTTCCTCAAATCTAACTGAGAGCCTGAAGACCAAGTGGCCCTGCTGGGGCAAGCCCTGCACATTAGGATTCCAGTGCACAGAGCAAGCAAAATGAAGAGAAGGGACTGTGGACCTAGAGATGAAAAGCAAAACATCAGCACAAACATTACTGTGTAGTAGTTAGGTCTACAGGCTCTGGGACTGTGCTCATGTTTTTCTTTTGTCTTAGTTTTATTATCTGTAAAATAGGAGAATGATAGAATATACTCTAATAGGAAACTCTAGGGCTCTACAGTCTGGGAGCCCTGGAGTTGAATGACTTCTCTGCCTTTACCTGTTTGAACAACTCTGTAACATAGCTTTGCAACTTCTCTGAAGCTCTTTTTTATGGTAACGTAGCATATTAATTATCATAATTACCACACCATGACCACTCTATGAAGATGAAATAACATGAGAAATACAGTAAACTGAATAGATTCCTGGGAAAATGGTGGTCTCCATTGTCAAAGAGACCATCTTTGCTTTGGATGGAGTGTGGGTGGTGGTCAGTTAGCTTACTCAGGAAAGAGAGATTTTGGTGAACTTCCACTTTTACAGATTGATATGGGAGGTGGGAGAGGGGATGGAGTCAAAGCCATTGGAAATATTATAAGATTCTTGAAGTTTTACAGTTGCGCTATGTTTATCATGTTTTCTTTTTGGCTTTAAAAAGTTTATTGCTAACTGTGATGTGTGAATTTCTTATTTAGGAAAT